ATGTATGCCAGAACTGGAGGAAAGATTAGGCTTGTTTTCTTCCTGAACTTGGGAGTAGAAAGAAGGAAAGGGATGTAGTAATTTGTGTGCCTATAAATAGAGAGAAGAGGTATGTTTGTTCTGGCTTTACTTGAAGGATGTGTGCTGGTTTGTGAGACAGGCAATCCATCCCTATTATTTACTTACCACAAGTTGAGGGTCATGTATTTATCTATATACTATTTTGGAATTGTCATGTGTAAGGAGTTACAGGAGTGCAAACACCTGTGCCTCAGTAACAGGTTATTAAGTCAATGGAAGCATAATTTTAAAATATTTGTACATGTTAGAAAATATAGCTCCAAAGTATTGCCATGTTTTATGTCCTAAAGGAGCACAATCCTGCATATTAGATTTGGTTTAACTCCATGTGTAATAAACTGTTTATGTCTAGCTTCTTAGAGCATGACATTTTTTGTTAATCTCCATTTCATCATGCTTCTCATTTTCAACACTACTATGAAAATCCTGAAGAAAGAGCTTTGCATGTATTTGTACTGTGTATTTTAAAAACAATACTTGAACCATAAGACTTCTTCACCATGTGTTCACACTCTGTCAGATATATGAGATGGGGAGAGAAAACAGGAAAGGTTTTTCAACCAGTTTGTATGCGTGGAATGCTGCATTCCTATTGCCCATTTATTCCTACTGCTGCTGAAGCTTATGGGGATGTTTTTGCTGTCATCACATAGCCTTTTCTTTGGTCCACCTGGGTTTCTTCTCTGCATGATAGTTTATTTCACTATTATCCAATTTAATTCAAATTATAAGTGAGCATATTAAGCATTGTACCCTCTATTTAATTCTAGATTTGGTCTACCTCTACAAGATAGGTAATATTTTTTCCCTCTTCATTTACACCTGTAAGGGGACTTTTATTTAAAATAAGTTTCCAAAGCAAGTCTAGCATATATACACTTTTTAAAATTCTAAGGGAATTTTTATGTATTCTTCCTCAGTGTATTTATTTAACAAGGTATGTAATCAAAGTAAAAAGTATAGAACAAAAATTATCATACACTTTCCTCTCTCCTTAAGAGTTCTTTATTCTTGTCCTGTTACTATTACTGTTCAGCAGAAGAACTGTCAATTTTAGATTTTTGTAGTAACATGCTCTCAAGACAACTGGTGTGCTGGAAAACTTAAGTCAAGAAGACTAGCAGCACTAGACACTGAGAATTATTGTTGTTGGGGGTGGGGAGATGTTCCCTATAAAGCACTGCTGTTTTGAATGAAGCTTTACATATTGTAAAGTAAAGTTCCTGATCCAAAGCTCTTATAAACAAAATTCCTCACCATGGGAGCTCCTGTGTATTTGCTTAATTTTATGTATGTCTTGTTGTCACTGGACAGTTCATGTAGGTACAGTTAAGCAGATGCATATATTTTTAGGTGTGGAGACAAAATTAGACTGCTATCACAACATATGTTAGGAGAGAGTTAAGGAAAGAGGAGAGACAATATTACTAATAGAAAAAATTGATTTATGGTAAAGCAGACCTTATAGTTTAATTGAATGTCTTTCTTGCAGTCTTGTGTGTTTTATTTTTTTAAATAGATTGGCACCAGAGATAAAATAATTTGTTGAAAGCTAATCCCTTTATGGCAGTCTCTTGATGCTCTGTTCTGTTTTCAACTTCGTAGTCAGATTGCGTTCTCTGTAGGCAGGAATGGCAGGCCAGCATTTCTGCTGCATCTGAAAACAGCTACTAAACAGGATCTGGCAGTTCTACCTACACTGGCATTGAGCCCATTGCCTATGCTAGCGCCAGGTTCCATACTGAAGCCTTCTGAAGCCTGCACCTGTGCTGCTGTTGATACTGATTGATTACCTGCATTGTTGGAATAATACAGGATTCAACCTTGAAAGAAACATTGCCATTTATCCTCTACCTTGAAATCAACAGGACTCCATAACTATTTGTGCAGTCCTTTGTGTATTTATGTGACATTGTACAATCTCTGATGCTTGACAGTAATTTCCAAAAGGTATGTAGATGAACAGGTGTTGGTACAGATACGTATAACTATATCTATACCTGTAAATATATATTGACAGCAATATTATACAGCTATGTGCTTACATTTTTACATTTTATATAGGCTTAATGAAATATAAAATAATACATTTAGGAGGGAAAAGGGATGTGCTAGTGAGTGTTATAAAAGGCTCATATGGCATATGTTTGAGATGCTTTGGCCAGTCACAAATGGCAAAGTCACAAGAGTTATGCAGGTCATCCCATGGAAACTCTGATATAATTGGCATTCCGCATCCCATCATCATGAATTCTGTCTGATGCATGTATTAGAGATTTATGTAAAAGTGTTATGTGTTACAAACATGAAATATTATCAATGCTGTTTTTACATTCCTTCGTATATGTAATGCAAGTTATGTTAGTATCAGGATTTACAGGTAGACAAATTGCAACAAAATCACATAATGAACTTTCTTCTGCAAGGCAAGTTGTCTTTTTAATAGCTGATATTTAATGATCTACCAAATCTTTAAACCTAGGGGTTACCCATTTGAAAGGAAAACATTCTTTAATTTCGACTTACATGAGGCAATTGTTTTTGATCATGATGGGCCATAATGCATCAGGCCCTAAATCTCACACTTGTAGAGGACTGTTTTGATTTTGAAGAGAATTTCCAGTTTTGGAGGAAAGCAGGCAAAACAATTATGGTAAGCTCATTTAAAAACAAAACAGCGAGCAGTGCCTTGATACTGCCATTACTGTCATATTGCCCATACACATGCTTAGGCATGAGAGAGGGTGTAACCTGACTTTAACAGGGAACCCATGACCCTATTACTGTAATAAAAAGATGGAAAGAAACTCACCGGAGGGATGCCAGAGGCTGTGACGTCATCCACTGGTGCCGGAGGACTTTTCACTGCACCTGAAGATGTTAATCTGTGAATGAGAACCAGACAGCTTTAAAAGCTGAAGAGGATGCCAGATCAGACCCCTGGAAGGGAAATGAAGAGATCTGGATTCCTGAGACTATAGAGTGACAAAGCTGAATTTGTGCGGAGGCACGAAAGGAGACAGGAAGTGGAGTCTCCCCTGCAGGTGTTTTGAAAAGCGGCTAAATACAGCCTGAACCAGAGATTGAACTGCCTGCACACATGGAATGGGTAGATGAACTTTAATTAGAGGCTTCTTTTGAATGAACTTTGGCCAATTCGGGCTAAATAACAAAATAGACTGGGACAATTTATTTGTAGGACAAAAACGGGAAAAAGAGGTGGAAGCCCAAGCCCTAAAATTGCAAGGTGACTTATTAATGATTAGCCCTGAGTTTGTGTCTTCCAGTGAGGAGGTCCACATTAGGTTGCCTAATAGTCTATCTTTGGAGTTTCACTATTTAGAAAATAAGCAAGCACCCTAATAAAGAAGCGATTTGAAAATAAAATGTATAAGACGACTGACTTTGACCATAGTTAAGAAATAGCAAGGTTGTCTGTGTGTCATGGTTTGAATTAACTCCATCAAGTCATGGCAGGGGAGAAAACACCCAAGTGGGAAGCTCTGAGTTGAAGGGTTGTTTTTTTTATATGCATATTTAATTGGCTTTAGGAACACCCATTAACACTGGCATTTATGATACTATAGTTCAGAGCTGATACTATGGCAACCCTGTCCCCTGAATGTTCATTTTGGTTCCAGTGCTTGTTTCATGAAAGACATCCAGGAGGAAAGGTGGGGGTGTGGCAGTTTATGTCAAAGAACGATTCACATCCTTAACAAGCAGCACTGAGTCAGAGGAGGGGCAGACTGAAGTGCTCTGGGTTAGAATACAAGGGGATCGGGGGGAAAGGGACTTAACAGTGGGGGTCTACTACAAACCACCCAACCAGGAAGAAGAGCTAGACCAGGAATTCTCAGGTCAGCTCACGGAGGCAGTTAAGTCAAAGGACATGGTCATCATGAGTGACCTAAACTATCCGGACATCTGCTGGGAAGAGCAGTCAGCCAGGTCTGACTGCTCACGTAGGTTTCTAGCCATGTTACAGGACCTCCAACTAACCCAGGAGATGCACAGTCCCACCAGGGGAAATGCCTTGTTAGACCTGGTCCTGGCCACAAACGATGACCTGGTGAGGGGACTATGGGTGCTCAACCACCTGGGTGACAGCGTTCATTGCCTACAGGAATTCACCATCCAGCACAGGGTAGCAAAGGCCTGTAGCAAGACAGCAGCCCTGGACTTCAGGAGGGTAGATTTCATTGAGCTAAGGAGACTAGTCAGGGAGGCACTGAGGTTCCGGAGGGGTGGAGAGTTGGGAGTCCAAGAAGAGTGGTCATTCCTGAAGGACTTGATTCTCCAAGCCCAAAGGGTGGCAGTCTCAACACAGACCAAAGGGGGCAAAAGCCCCCATGGCTCACCAAAAGCATCCAGGAACGTCTCAAAGCTAAAAAGGAGGTGTACACCCAATGGAAAGGAGAGGCCATCACCAGGGAGGACTATATCTCCATTGCTCAGGATTGTAGGGGGGCTGTTAGGAAGGCCAAGGCGGAGATGGAACTGGGACTTGCAACCCGGATCAAGGATAACAAGAAATCCTTTTTTAAATACATAGGGGGTAAAAAGAAGGTTCTGGGTAATGTGGGGCCTCTGCAGGAGACACTTGGAAATCTGGTATGCGACAAAGCTAACCTATTTAACAATTTCTTTGCCTCCATTTTTCTGAGCAGGGACCAGGTCCCCCCAACTGGGATCCCCTGTGGTCCCAAGGGAGGCACAGCCAGGCCCAGGGTCAGAAAGGACCTAGTCAGGGGACTTCTGGTGGGACTGGACATGTTCAAATCAGCGGGTCCTGATGTTCTCCACCCCAGAGTGCTGAGGGAATTAGCAGAGGTCATTGTGGGACCTCTGGCACAGCTTTAAGAGCACTCATGGTGCCAATGTGGTCCCCATTTTCAAAAAAGGGAGGAAGGAGGACCCAGGAAATTATAGGCTTGTTAATCTTACCTCGGTCCTGGGGAAGCTCTTTGAGAAAATTATCCAGGGGCTGCACATCTGCGAGGGGCAAGCAAGTGAGTGTATGCTTAGGGGCAACCAACATGGGTTCGTTAGAGACAGGTCCTGTCAGACCAACCTGGTGGCTTTCTATGTCCAGGTCACAAGATCACTGGATGCAGGTGTCATGGTGGACGTAGTCTTTCTGGAGTTTAGGAAGGCCTTCGACACTGTCTCTCACCCCATTCTCATTAAAAAATTAGGAGATTGTGGTGTCGATGCCTACACAGACAGATGAGTCGCCAATTGGCTGGAGGGCCACACCCAGAGAGTGGTGTTGGACGGGTCATTTTCGACCTGGAGGGATGTGGGCAGTGGGTTCCCCCAGGGCTCAGTCCTCGGGCCTGCACTATTCAACATCTTCATCAGCGACTTGGACGAGGGGGTGAAAAGCACCTTGTTCAAATTCGTGGATGACGCTAAGATGTGGGGAGAAGTGGGCATGCTAGAAGGGAGGGACAGGCTGCAATTGGTTCTGGACAGGTTACAGGGGTGGACGGATGAGAACAAGATGGGATTCAGTACTGACAAGTGAAGGTCAGTACTTTCTCCCACCTAGGGAGAAAGAACCAGCAGCATACCTATAGGCTGGGGAACTCCCTTCTCATCAGCACAGAGGCAGAAAAGGATCTTGGAGTCATTATAGCCTCCAAGATGAACATGGGCCGCTAATGTGGGGATGCAGTCAGGAAGGCTAACCGCACCTTGTTATACATCCACAGATGCATCACAAGCAGATCCAAGGAGGTGATCCTCCCCCTCTATATGACATTGGTCAGGCTGCAGTTGCAGTGCTGCGTCCAGTTCAGGGCATCTCACTTCAGGAGGAATGTGGACAACATCCAGAGGGTCCAGAGGAGGGCCACTCGCATGATCAGGGGTAGGAGGGCAGGCCCTACGAGGAGAGGCTACGAGACCTGAACCTTTTCAGCCTCCACAAGAGAAGGCTGAGAGGGGATCTGGTGGCCATCTATACACTGGCCAAGGGAGGCCAGCTGGCAGTGGGATAGTCCCTGTTCCCCCGAGCACTACTAGGAGTAACAAGGAATAACGGTCATAAGTTGACGGAGAGTAGATTCAAGCTAGATATCAGAAGGCACTACTTCACAGTCAGGGCGGCTAGGAACTGGAGCCAACTTCCAAGGAAAGTGATGCTCGATCCTACCCTGGGGTTTTTAGAAGTAGGCTAGATAGACACCTTGCCAGGGTCGTTTGACCCCAGCATTCTTTCCTGCCTATGGCAGAGGGTCAGACTTGATGATCTGGTCAGGTCCTTTCCAACCCTACCAACTATAAAACTATGAAACAAAATTAATTAAAGCAAGCTGTCCAGTATTGTCTGCGTTCATGTCAATGCTGAGGTGAACTGTTTCCTTTCATCTAGATGTCCTGGTCCTTGGCAAGGTGTGGCCTTAGCCAGCTTCTCTGTAACAACTAAACCTGTCATGTTAGCTTTCTTGGTTGCTTTCATGCACTGTAGCAAGCCTTGTGTTTGAATCCTTGGAGATCTTGGTCACATTTCTCTTGAACCCAGTTAGGCCAAACTTCTGGACTCCTGGTCAGGCCAAGTTCTGGAGATACCAGACAGCCTGGAGGAGTCCCATGTTTTCCTACTGGCTTCAGTCCAGTTCCCATTATCTGGATTTATATGGTAAACATTGTACTCCTTCTCCACTATAAGACGTGTGGCAGTGAAGATTGTGCTGCCCACTCGGGGGAGACTCTGAGGGCCTGAAAGAAGGGCCCCAAAGATTATAAGGAAAGACGGAGCGGGTGCTCTGGACCCAACTACTTAGTTAGCGGGTGCTCTGGACGCAAGACAGACTGGAAGGAAAAAAGCAGGACACAGGAAGATCAAAAGTGCCCCGATTTATTCATTCCTGTCATTTCTGGTTGGCTGGGCATGGAACAAAAATCGGTTAGCTGCCGCACCAGGAACAATGGAAAGGAGGAGAATGAGAAAGAGAGACAGAGACATGGGAAGAAGATCAGAGAGAGTTGTGAGAAGAAACAAGGACAGAAACTATGCCTTGGAAGGGGTAAAAGGAGAAGGATAGGAAACTCCCTTCTTTTGAGACTCGGAGGAATCTCCACACTCACCTGAGCGGGGACACAAGAAGAAACGGATGGTGGGATCCGGCAAAGCAATGGTTGTTTCAGCCTGGGAACCTGCACAAACAGAAAACAACTAATGGTGAATGGCTGTGGAGCGGGATAGGAGACCTGGAGGAAACCAGAGACCCATGGTTCTGCCACCAGCCAAAATTTAACAGTAAGAATAAGAAAGGAAATAGGCAGTCAGTAGCATCCAGGGTTAACCAGGTCATAAGAAAGGGCAGAACTGAGCATGGGAAAATAAAATCCTATTTCGGCCAAAGGTCAGCAGCCATTAAGAATGGCAAGCCTCTCTCTTTTTTTTCCCTTTTACATCTAAGTCATGGTAGGTGAGATGGGGTGGATGTACTGAGTAAAAACCTTAATAAAAAGACCCACTGTGACCTTGAAACTAACAC